AAGTTAAAGTGGAAACAGATTACTTCCATTTATTTCATAGTAGGCTTAAGCTAAAAACGTGACTATTGCCATTAGGGTATGATGGGGTGATTTCCCTGAAAATAAATAAAACGTAACTTCTCCTCATTTACACACACAATGTATTTAATGCAGTTTTAATAGTTTGATTACATTTCTTTAGCAAGTTCACTTTAATAGAAAGCAATAAGCAGAGTATCAGTAGCTTTGTAGAACCCTTGCCTGATATTAAGGCTCTGATGCAATTTTCTGAAATGTGTTATACGTTTTTTCATTTACTGTGATGGTAATTCCTGTAATAGCAACATCTAAAATAAAAAGATAGGCTCCAGAGATGTTATAGCCTACTATGGACTTGAACAGAAGTAAATGAGTCCATGTGGCAAATCTGATTTCAAGAGACCATGCAATAAGATTGTCAAAGCTGTCAGTACTTGCAATAAATCATAAAGAAATCTCAGTGGCATAGTCCTGCAAGCTGGCGATGCTAACCATTACTGATAGCTGGGGCCAAAGGGAAAAGCAGAAAGAAATAAGAAACTGATTTAGAAAATAAAATGTATTCAACATGAGAGCAAAGCATTGGCCTAAGAAGCTTTTGCTGAGAATTATCTGGGAAGATCAGCACGACTACATAAACAATATTTACTGATTAAGACAACTTCTTAGCGCTTTGATTGAGTAAACACATTATTTAAAACCCATGTATAAGTGCAACACATAAGTGATGGGATATTACAGATGAAACTACCCAGCAGTATGTAATTGACCCCCGTCACCAGCTGCAGATTTACAGTGGTATGTACATTAATGCATCAATTAATAAAATATGTTTTGTACTAAACTGAAATGTCTTTCTGCATAATACATCCCATTACCATTTTTATATTTGTAATATAAATAGTTTGGTTTGTGTAGGCTACTACCATTTTGATTTCCATGGGGACTGCATGATTTTGTACAATGTTTTTTTAGGGGTAGGGTTAAAGGGGTCCTGATATGCTTTTGGGGGTTTTCCCTTTCGGCTATATAGGTTTTTGTGCATTTGAATGGTCTGCAAGTGCTAAAAATCCCTAAGTCCCTCAAGCCCCAGGTATTATGCCTCAATCCCTATCCTTTGTTAACTTCTTCAACATAGTGACATCACTGCTGAACACCAGAGAACCGCAGTGACGCGTCGTAAAACCCGGAAGTAAGTTAGCATTTAATGCTAACTTACTTCCGGGTTTTACGACGCGTCACTGCGGTTCTCTGGTGTTCAGCAGTGATGTCACTATGTTGAAGAAGTTAACAAAGGATAGGGATNGACACGTAAACTCTTCAAAAATCACCAGTGGGGTCACTGCTGATGTATTTAATGTCGTAGAACAAAACGTGATTTATCTCCTAAATTTGTGTCAACCACAGACCTTATTTCGAGCTATTTTCCAAAACCCTATGGAAAAAATGCATTGCTTTTTGAGGAAGGAACCGGAAGTGCTAAAAATGCTAACTTACTTCCGGGTTTTACGACGCGTCACTGCGGTTCTCTATTAACATTTGCTCCCGTTTTTAGCATTATGGGCGTCATAGCCATTGACTATAAAAGTCTTACAAGGCTGAATCATAAACTAAAATCAATGTATATGTATGTATAAAGGGTTATGTCCTTAGCTGGCTAAT